TCTCCTCCTTCCTCCTTTCTGTATGCAGGGGTGACTGATTAAAGACTTGGTTAATGAACTTATAGCTGGACCTTGATAAATGACCAGTCTCATATACATGGATAATTTCTAGCAACTGTAGGCATATGACTATTTTGCTGTAAGAGAAGTCATAATTAGACTGGTGTCCATAAAAAAAATGGCTCTCAGATTATGCATGCCATCATCAGTTGCTGCATTTGCCAGCTCTATATTCATGGCTTGTGTTTAGCTTGTTTTACTCCCTGTGCTGATAGATGTGCTATTAAAAACGTTTGACATCTTTACAGTTCACTGTCTTTTTACTAATCCAACAAAACTAAATATGTTGATGAACAGTTTTTGTACCTACCTCAGGGTACTACTTGTGTTCTCAAAAATTTACAATGTGGTTGAAGGAATATGGAGGATGCAAAAGGCAGCTTGACTGTCTCCACTGAAACCATGAGTTTGTGAGAAAACTTAAAGTTTGATTCCCTGTACAGATTTTATTTTTTAAATGGGCAGAAGAAGCAATGTTTGCTCTGAGATAATGCATTTTTTTGGAGATATTTTTTTGAGAACTTAAATTTTTTGGAGATAAGGGCTTTTGCTCTGATTAAGACAGGACTAGTAACAGATAAACTTTTGGAGACAGAATTCACTTTCTCTGGTAGGAAAGTCAGATTGCTCACCCATGGAAGGAAAAATTACATACTGTTTAAACAATACAGAATAGTTTTATCTGACTACTGCTTCAATTCTGCATATTACATTTGGTATTGTCCTGGTATTGTATTAAGGGTCTTCCCCAAGCCTACACTAGGTGCTAAGAAAATATTGGATCTACAGCAACCTCATCAACAATGAGGTCTCCAACGATCTGGGTGATGTCCACTGCACATGGGCTGTGTGCCACAGTTTAGTACCTGCCACCATGATATGGTAGTGATGGACTGATCAGATATCAAGAAAGATGTTGTGGAGAAACGGTCCCACCTATTCCAGCATTTTGGAGAGAATCTCTTTCTTCCTATGCTACCCCTGGGCTTGAATCATGACCATGCCTAGTGTCCCACCAGGTTCAGTGACTTGAGAAGAGCTCTTCTTCCTTCTTGCCCAGACAGGGTCTCATCTATTAAAGATATGGAATTAGGTAACAGTGCTTTAAGTATAGGTGATGCTGTGTTGCATTGTTGCTTGTTTTTCAAGGCCCAAGATGGTGTTTTTAGTGGTGACAGGCTGCAGGAAATATTTGGAGCTGTCTGCTACTTTCCCTCCACCACAGGAAACACATAGCGCTTGCCTTGGTGGCAGGTTTGCTGCAGTGGTGTGATTTAATCAATCTGCTGGGCCTCCTCATTGATAGCCCAAGCACCATCTTTATTCTGGGGAGGCTTTAGTCACTTGGCTCGCTTGATGACATCACATTTCACATTCCTGAGTGTGATGGCTTCAATTGTTAGATCCACCCCTTGATTAAGAGCCCATCTGTGTGTTGCATCTCACCCTGGGTGTCCCTGGGGACATGTTTCATAGGCCCACTGAGGTGGAAGTAGCTCACCTTTTCATCCCAGCACACATCCACCTGAGCTGCTTCATTCCTGGCAGCCTGATCTTTCACTGTTTAGATGTTCTCTGGTGGTGCAGCTCTTGGACACGTGAGTATTTGTATGATGTGCATGCGCATCATGATGTTCATATACATGTTACGTTTTTAGTTGCCACTATTTTACTCCTCTTCACCTTCACTAAAGCAAATGTGCTGAATAGGTTTCTGAAGACACTGGCAGTGGAAGAGAACTGGCAAAGCTCATGGCCTAACCTGTATCTTTCATACATATAAAAAGATAAACTGAGGAAAAAAATGAATTCAAAAGAGCTTTCAAAAAGTCTTGACACATATTTCTCAATGGATTCAAAGTAGTTTTGCAAACCTTTTTCAAGTGAGGTGAATACCACATCTAAAATGGTTGTGTTTAAAAAAGTGTGTGAATGTATATGCATGTGTACAAATATATATAAAATCTTCTGCTCCTAAAAAATCTTCTTATTTTGCAGTTGAAACTACTGCTACGCTGCCTAGCAGAAAAATAACAGGTATGTTTGGGTTCTGTGGGATTTTGCCCCATTGTTCCTCTGTTTTCGAAAGTGTGTAGTAAGATTGCTGCTGCTGTTACTTCTTAATTTTTGGAGATAGTTAAGCATATGCAAACATTTGCAAATTAATTTTCCATATCATCCTTGTGGCTTTTTAGCCAATTTTGTCGTGCAAGTAGCATCAGTAATTTTTCAGAGAAAATGAAAATAAAGTCACTAAGATGATTCTGATTCTCCCTTCATTACAGAAATTGTATTCACATTTATCTTTTGGAAAGAAGCTTTTGCTAGTTTTCAGTAAGGCAAGCAAAATAGTCTTACTGAGTAAGGAATTAATGAGCGTTGAGCATTTCAGAAAATTCTTGTTTTCTGTTTTTAATAAAAAAACCCCGTTTTTCTTCAGGGACTTTTATCTCTGATTTAAGTCTTCTGAAGCAGTAGGAAAGGCTTTACAGTAAAATTACTGTATTGTAAGTAACATTGTAGGATGACGTTTGACCTTTGAGAGGTGTTGAAATACCTTAAGTATATTTTTTAAATAGTGCTTCTTGTTTGAATCCAGCTGTTCTTTAGATTATATTTCTGTGATAACTGACCTGTAACTTGACTTGTCTCTGACAGTATAAAAAAAACACACAGTGACTGAAAGGGCCAACTTTAAAGTTGCTATGTGAACAAGATATCAAATTTCCTAATTTCTTTTTGATCAAAATACTGACTGTAACAATATAAAAAAGTAATAGCTAATGTTTTTTATGTAAGTAGTTGTCTGGTTCCTGTTAAGATCAGAGGTTCAAACTTGAAATTAATTAGGTTGGGTTTTTTATCACTGCTTTTTGCAGGATAGTGAAGAGAATACATGGGTATGGGATAAATTTTAAGTGGCAAGTCTCACTGTTAGTTTAAAAAGTCTGAGAAGAGTTCTTCATAGCCAGCTAGTGCCACCTTGCTGTGTGTGCTTGATTCTCATTCCCAGAATTAGCAAGACACTCAGGATAAGCATGTAGCTTTCAGGCTAGTATGGCACATATCTTGGGTCTTTAACATTTTACTGTTATGTGGTTTTGTAACATTATACAATTCAAACTGTCCAGTATTTCTCAAAAAAAATTGTCTTGCATAGAATTCCATTTGAGTGCAAAATATTGTGATTTTTTTTTTAGCCAGAGATTATTACATCTGCCTTTTCTGACAACCTGGAAGTGTTGTTCTGAAAAAGCAGGTGTTGCCCTCTTCTGGTGAATGCAGTAAACTTTTGATAATGTAAGAAAAGCCTGCTGAGGATGATAATATATGTGTCTGAAACTTCTTAATAGCATTTTTTTTTTTTTTCATCGGAAACAAAACTCACAGATTCAGAAGAATCAGCTGCAACTACAGTTTTTGGTAAGAAAATCAGAACTTTACTGATTTTTCCAATTTTTGTTATTTCCTCTTAGGTAAACCTTCTTTTATCTGAGGTAGTGCAGAAAGGTTGTAATGTATTAGAGCTCCAAAATTAAAATATTTTCATTTCAGATTACTTGTTTCATTGTATATTGTAATGCAATAGCTTACCTTATAGGATCAGTCATGGCTTGTGGCAGTGGTGCTTGTGGTGAAGTTAGGTGCAAGTTGCTTGATCAGCAGCCTTTTGTTCAGTCATCTGAATGGTGAAGTTTGCAGAGATGGCAGAGGAGGAAAACTATAGTGAGAGCTTCTTTTTATCTCCTGCCACCCTAGCAGATGGCATTTCATGCAGTGTTTTACACTACACACACACATAAGACTCTAACAACTTCTGGAACCAGAGGTGATAAGCATCATCTATGAAAGCATTTAAAAAAAATTAAGAATGAGACACGCAGAAATAACTTGTGTGAAAGCCAGTTGCTTTCTTGCTTAATGTATACTGACATAGGGTGAGTGCTCTGGATAGAAGAAATAATACAGATGCAAGCACACATGCTCTTGTTATTTTACAGATACAGTCTCTCTTTGGCACATGCTCTTGTTATTTTACAGATACAGTCTCTCTTTGGGAATGGATCATCTTTAACAATGGCATCACATTCAGTACTTGTGTAGTATATACTAGGCCAAATAATACCAATGAAACCAGTGGAAACTTAGTTTTCACTCTGCTTCAGTTGTGAATCTGCTCTGATCCATTTTTGAAAAGTCACTAAGTTGTCATATTGAAGTGATATAAAGTGGTCTTCTAACCACTTTGTCTTCCTGTGCTTACACCTAAAATATTCTAACTAAGCACAGCCCTTTAAATTTCCATCTATTGTCTTTTTTATTTTTTTTTTTTTCCTTTTGGTGTAGCTGAAAAAAAATTTGCATCGTTACTCTGGTTATTGACAAAAACAAATGCCTTTTTTGGAGAGACAGTTTGCCAAACCCAGTTTGTCATCTCTGCTTATGAATGTTGTGAGTTCATTCAGGGAAAAGGTCCTTGAAGTTAAGCAGTTACTGCAGTTGGATATGCAAAAATTTATCTGCATCTCCTGGAAGAATGAAACCAGTAAAATGAACTTATCTGAGGAAAAGTTGATTCCCAGCTGTTTGTATTCAGATTCTCAGATTTTTTTAAATAACATGAACATTATTTCAATCATTAGTATTGAAATAATGTGAACACTCCTAACAAGCTTTGCAGTTGTTCTTAAAATGAAATTTAGATAAATAATATTCAGTTTCTATTCAAAATTTTGCAGGCTTGAGTTTTTTTCTCAAAAATTCATAGAAGTAAAATACTTTATTAATACAATTTTTAATTCTTTCATCTTTTTTCCCTGTAATTCTCTATTGGTACATTTATCACCTATCCTATTAATTCTACAGGCAAGATGTTGCTAATGTTGCTCTTATTTAGATTTTGCTGGATTTAGACTTTTGGGCTTTTTTTGTTTAATTTTATTTTTATAGATTTAACTGTCATGGATTTTTCTATTTCAGATATGTCTTCAGAGGAGACTACACAAAGTACAGGTGAGAATTTGCATGAAGAGAGTATGGTTTCAAGGGAGATGTTCATTGCATTCATGTTTGTTGGTTTTTTGTTGTTTTATTTTTTTAGTTTTTAGCAACTGGCATTTGTTTATTCCAAATTATTTTCTTAGGTGATTTTAAAATTTGTATTTATCTGCAGTCTGTATTTTAACAGATTGCAGTTAACAGAGAATTTTATCTGCATGATTAGGGCTCTGAGATGCACTTAACTGAGATGTAAGCCTTTTTTTCTCATTCAAAATATTGTATGGCTTACCAAAACCCAAACAGCACAGATACATATTTTTTAGCAAATATATAGGGAAGTTTGTATATAGAATGTTTAGTATGCTTTCTGACACTATTTAAGGTTTTTTACAGAACTAAAATGTACACCCCATTCCTTGAAGACGTATGTTCTTGCAAGGATTTGTCAAATAGGGTCAGAAAGGACTCAATCAGAAGAACGTTTCATCCCTTCCTTTCCTGATTTTCTCATTTGAAACAAGGAGTAGGTTCATTCCATATTAGTATGTATTCCTCCATGCCTGTATAGGAGCTGGACATCCTGCTGTTCTTCATTGTCAATTGAAAAACATTTTTGCAACAGGATTCCTCCTATGCTGAAGTTGCCATGTAGAATACGATAAACGGGAATCACCTTAAAAGCACCTATTTCTCCTCTGAACAATGGGGAGCCTGGAGTCACTGGCTCAGATGGGGATATAATCATATAATTAGAAGGATCTTACTCCACTTGCTGCTTTTGCATTTCCTACACTGAAAGTAACTTCATTTTCTTATTAATTGTCAGGTGTTTCCACTTCTCCTGGAAAGATATACTCTGAAATAGAAATAAGGGTTTATTTTTGTGACATGTATTTCATGGGTATTTTAAGTTAAAATGTGAAAACTTTCTTTTCCTAACAGAAACCCTTACAACAACTGATTATTACTCCACCATAACACCAGGTAGGATTCATCTATCACTGATACATTTTTGTGCATCTCAAATTTTAAGTGTGTGTGAGTTCAGGAAGTCAGCTCACTTCTGTTTTTTAATATGCTTTTTACTTGGTATTGTGGTGTGTCATATTAACAGTCTGTCTTACCTCACATTAATGTCCAATCTGGTAGAAGAACTAATACTGCACTGCTTTTCTAGATGGTTGCATATAGAAGAGCTTGGTTATTTTGTAAGTCAGAGCAGTAGGTTACCACAAAAATGTAAGAAACACAATCTCAGGGACCATGTTTGCTTGAAAAGAAATCTTTATGCCTTTTAGTAGATTGAAGCAAACTGAATAGAGTCATTGTATTTGACCTCAGGGCAGGCCCTGTAGGATCAGGAATAGACAGATTTATTTTTTTTTATTATCCACGTAGAAGCTCAGTAGCCCCATTACAGTGGATTTGCCCTGAGTTAGTGCAAGTGGAAGAAGATGCCTTGGAGCCTTAATGACAAGGAGAATTTGACTGCATGACCTGCAGAAACATTGCAGCTGTGTTATCTAATGCTCTTGAGAGACTGGAAGCCCTAGTGATTTTTGGTCAGTCTTTTATCCTCCACACTGTTAATCTATTTTGTGTATTTTGGTGGCCTGCAGAGATCTTAAGACTAGGGGGCACACAAATGGGTGCTCTGTAAGGAAAAAGGAGCTGATGTTAATCTTTTGTGGTCTTCCAGATTTTGTCTTGGATTTTATAAGTTGTTCTCTATGCAGCAAATAATTTTGACAATTTATTGTTATATTGACATTTGATTATTGTTTATCAGTTATTTATGAGCATTTTATTTTTTAAGGATTGTTTAAAAAAAGCAGTATATATGAGGTTTTTGACTATTTCATTACCGACAAAAGGGAAGGCAAATCTATGGTCACAGAATTGTTAAGGTTGGAAAAGACTTCTAAGATAATCAAGTCCAACCATCAAGTTTATTTGATTCTAAACTGCTATCTGAAATTTTTATTTTCTGATAATTTTATTATTGCCATGAACTTACAATCTGTAACCTCTGGTGGCTTGTTTATTGATGGTGATAAAATTAATAAAGCAGCAAACTTTTACAATCAAATGATTGCACTGCAGAGAAAGTGAAAAAAAATCCTTTCTCATTTGGTACTAACTAATGTTAACAGCAGAAAAATTAGAATTTGTTTTTTTTTTCTGCTAATGAAGACCATTCCATCTGCTTAAGTAAGGAAAGTTGTTTTAATGAACAAGTGTAGGAGTTTTGTCTTAGATGCAAATATTTTCCCAGTGCTTTATTTTGAAATTATATAACAGAGCCATCTGTTTACAGTACCCTAATTTAGGATCAGTGTTATTTCTCAGCAGTGTAGGTTGTATTAAAATATGGAAAATATGGAGCAGCCAAAAGCTTGCTGTAACTAAATGAAGGCATGTTCTACTAGATAAGAGTGCACATTGTTGCTGTCATCATAGCTTAAATTCCATCAGGTATAACAGCTTTAGCTTCAAGCTATCATATGGAGCCGTAGTAGGATACTCAGAAGTAGATACTATGCTGCCTAGTGATTGAATTCTGTGATAATTAAAGAGCTTATCAATTAGATGCTGATTCCTGTTTCTATTTAAAATGTAAAAAAAAAAAAAGAAAAAATTGAGATGATGTAGTGTGTAAGTATTCTGTCAAAACAGCTGCAGAAATTTATTCAGAATTAATAATCAAAGGCAATGTATGTCTGAATACTAAGTCTTGGAAAATGTCACGGTAAGTGCTGTAGAGAGATGAAGCCTAGACAGTATATCAAATACTTCCAGAAGATAAAGACATTTACATAACAAACACTGGAATGATTGTAAATACATGTGATAACATTTGATTTAAGTTTAGCTTCTTTACTAAGTAGTTGTTTTTTTTTCCCCAAAAAAATCTATAGCAGGAGAAACCATTGTATGCAACGTAACACGTGCCTGTAATTATTCAGGTTAGTGGTTTTCTTTTCCCTTTTTTAAAGTAAAAATCTTGTTCAACTCTTTCATACTCTGAGCAATGAAGCAGTGTTAATTGCCATGTAAAAGCTAGGTCTGTAATAAATCTTCTTGTAAATTTAGATAGATTTTATATGAATTCAAAAAACATTAAAGGTGGGGAGGTTAAGAAGTGTTTAGGCTCTTGTGCTTTTGATCTTTGGTTTCTCATCAAAGCCACACAATTGCAGATGAGAATTGCAAAAAAAACCCCAATAAACAAGTAAGCTATGTAGTTCTATTTATAGCAATGTGAAGTGCAGCTTTGCTGTTTTGGGAAAAGATGAACTAGAAGGAATTTAGGGATGGCCACCAAAATTAAGTATATAGAAAGTAATGAAGCTTTTGGACTAGTTCATTTATTGAAATAAGTGAAAAGAAGAACAATTGCAAAAATAGATAAGCTAGTGCAAGTATTTCCCTTGTATCAAAACACATGACAGTAAATTTTTCCATTTTCAAAAAAATTTACATTCTATGTTTTAGCATTGATTTTCCTAAATTTTTTTACTTTTGTTTTTAGTGTTCTATGTGGGCAAGGTAAAACTGCGGGCAAGTGAGGAAAGTAACGCATCACTAAATGTAGAAATAGTAAGTATTCTTCCTTTTAAAACTTTAATGTAAGCAAGGTTGGAGTGAGTTTCTTTGTCTACACTTAAAATAAGTAACGTATAAAATAAGTTTCTGGTCTTGCAGTGCAAGATACTGTTTGTAGTGGATGGAACAGCTCTGTTTTAAATAGTTGCTTTTCAGCGAAATTTTAAAATTGCAGCAAAGTAAACTTCTTACAGTAAGGACCTGTATTCTCTACATAGCCCCTGAAAGGAGAAGAAAGCCCTGGGTAATCTCAAGAATTTACATTTAGGCACTTTCAGATCTTCCTTCAGAGATTAGTTGAGGCACTTGTCTTTGGAAGATGAGCATCATTCAAATCAAATGATGAGCATCAAATAGGCAACTATTTGGGCATAATTTAAATTGGATTATATCCTGGAATAATTCATGTTGAGATTCTCGTAAATAGTTCTATGATTTTTTTTTTTTTTTGTGTATTTTTTCAATTATGCTTTTGCATGATCATTGTATGTTTTTTGGCTTGTGGTTACTGAGTTATTAATTTTGCAATAGGATTATGTGACATGAGTGTATCCATTAAACAACAAGAGAAGTTTAAAGGGACAGTGTCATGCATGGCTAGACCGTATAGATGACCCAGTATCAAGATAACCCTATGAGGATGAGAATGTTCAATTGTTACAGATGGAAACTGAGGGGAGGAAAAAAGAAGGATCTTGTATCTTTATCCTACACATCCCTGTCAGCCCTCAGCCTGAGATTTGACATGCCAGTCCCTGAAAGCATGACAGTAGTCAGCAATGTCACCACAGAGAAGAGCTACTGCACAGAGCATTGAGTTTGGGCAGGGATATGCCTCTGGCAAAAGCCACCTACACTCTGTTGTGTTTCAGTGGTGATAATGCCTACTGAAACTGTGCTAGCGAAATAACATTGCACCTACAGCTTCTGGAAAAACTGGTTTCCATCTGTTGAAACTCTTTTGCTTTTCAGAAGAATATTTCTCAGGGGAAGTCAATACCACATATATTAGATGATGCCTTTCCTCATGGCCATTGCTGCTTGCACAAAATGTAAAAATAACCAGTAATGCTGGTAACCAGAGGAGCATAAGAATGCATATACAGAAAGGGTTCTTAGATAAACCTCACGGTATCCCCAGACCTGTCATACTTATTTAGCTCGGTTCTATCATGTCTTTCACTCTAGTTCTTGACTTCTTGCTAACAGTGTTCTGTTATCTGTTATTTATGTCATTTATGGAGTTTGTACTATTGTTGCACTTAGAGTTAAAAAAATTCATTCAGTGTCTGGACTAAGCTGTCCTTGTTGCAAACTAAGCCAAATTCCTCCTTTTTACAGCATAAGACATGGAGAGTTCACTGTCCTTTTGCCCCTTTCTTTCACAAAGGTTTTGGGGTTTGGTCTACACTAGATCAACAGTTCCTTTCACAAATCATGACAACAAAGTCATGGTAAATACTTGTTGCAGTGTATTAGTGAGAAAACATGCTTCTTTGCAATTTCAGCCTATTAAAATGCATGAAATGAACGATTTTCGTTTAAGACTAAAAGCTATTGGTTGTACTTAGTGGTGGAATCTTTTTTCCTAACAGATTGATAACATAACCACCCACAATCAAGTCAAAAAAGTAATTGAAATTCCAGCACATACCCCACAAGAACTGAGGTAAGTAATTCCGAATAAGGATTGAAATCTTTTTTATATTTTAAAAAGATGAAGTGAGACCTTCCATGTGTTGAGCTATCTTTGTGTTATCCCTGCACATTAAAAATTTTAGAAGTTGTAAGTTCTTGCTCTTTAGCAAAAAGTTCATACTGGTTAGAATACTTTTAGTTTATATACCACTGGAGTTTCTTTTAAAAAAAGGTACACCAAATTTTGTTATAACGTAAGTATTCAGTCTATCTGGAAGGAAATTATGAAGACAACTTTCCTAGCTGCATGTTCTTCAATAAATACTCTTTAAGTCATATCTATGATTTTATTTTGGTGTAGGTTTTTCTTTCCCAGTCTTTATAAGGAGAGGTTTGAGTGAGTAAATATTTCCCAAACTTGCCCTGAAAATCAACAAGATGTGGTTGGCCAACAAATCTTGTTTATATAAGAAATCCATATTTCTTATTCATTCTATTTCTATGGCTTTGAGTATAAATTTAGAATTCTCTTCCAAGTAATGTGTGGCAAAAGGCAACATTAAGATTTATCTTTTGCTCTTTTAAATAACATTTACAATACTTAATTAAATAACATTTACAATAACAATTGGTTAGTGTTCAAATGTGATGACAGAGATTTAAATTTATTTTGTGTAGTGACTAATAAAAGTCAGCTCTTCGAATGTTTAATGCTCTGAAAAGTGGTTTTATAGTATTAGAACTGGCCTGACTAAAAAATCATTGATTAACTGGAAAAATATTTTTCTCTGTAATTGTTTTTTTATTAAATTGTTGTAATTGTTTTTAGAAACATAACCAAAAATCCTCCATAACAGTAATATTTTATTTTAAAGCATTTCAGAGTTCAACAAAACCTTGCGAGCAGTAAGTGAGGTAAGATTACTGATTGTTGTTACTGTTTGGAAAACTTTTTTTCCAACTTACTTCTGATAAAGCACCATGATTTCTCCTTATAGACCATTATTTTTCTGTTTTTATTTGTCATTACAGTCCTCTGTTATGGAATGCAGTGCAGACAACCAGAGGTTTGTTTTCAAATTTTTAAAGACAAAATATTTAAAAGCTCGTATATTGTCTTGTGATGTGTGAAGTACGCATGGCTCTGTGTAACAGAAGAAAAAGACAAACTCTCTAGAAAGTTCAGAAGTTTAAGAAACAGGCTGGAGAAATATATGTAGGTAGAAAAAAATCCAATTTCATTATTGTCCTGACACTGGTGATTTTGAAAAAACCTTTTGGTGTGTGTTGGTTTTGTTTAACGCAAATGTATTGCTTCTCATTAATCTGCTGAAGCTCAGGCTTCCCTGCCACATTTCTTCTGCATCTTGGTATTACCTTAGTCATGTAAATGGGAGCACCAGAATTGCAGAACTTGTGAATTGCAATACAATCTTTATGAGGGATTTGCTTGAGGCATCCCAAGTTGCTGTTCTTCAGCTTGGGAAACCAACCATCTTTGGGGTATGGGGAACCTGTGGAAGTAAGCAGCTCAGAGTCAGGAAACCATGCATTATCAGAATGACAAAGCTGCTCCAGAGAGGTGATGCTGGAAACCCTGAAACATAGATGATGTCTCTCAATTTAATTGCTACTCACTATTAAATTGTCCTTTGAAACGATCAACTTGGAAACACTGTATTCTAAAACAAAATGTGAAACTTTATTTCCCAAAATTCTTGAATCTGAACTTTAGCTTCCTGGATTAGGATGAAAGAAAAGTCCAAAACACTCAAATAAAAAAGACAAAGTAGTCAGATCACACTTTCATATACTGGCAGTCACTATGGTAAACTTTTCATTGTTATGAGCTGGAAGGAAACCTTTTAATTCATCTCTATGTTTGCATTTGCTGAATCTGAAAATAATTTACTGGAGGTTCCCTAGTTGAGGCAGAGCTTCAAGTCCTTGAACTGTAGTTGTAAAGATGGAGTTCCATACTAGAATGGGTCACTGAAGTTCTCTAAATCAAGAGAGAATGCTGGCTTTCTCAGGTGATGGAGATTAACACTGATTTATTTACAGTAACAGTGGAGATTGCATTATTATCCTTACGAAGTTATCAACTCTTTAATGACCAACATTGATCAGGGAGGACTCCATTTAAGAATTGGCATAGTAGAGATAAGGGACAAAAAGTGCCACAAACTGATTTATTATGTTTCTAAGCAGCCTGGCATAGTGGTTTACATGCATTAAAAATGTGCCCAAATCTGAACAGAGCCTGGGAAAAATGTGCTTTCACACTTAGCATTTGTGCTAATGTGCTTTCATTTAGCATTTGGTATTATTTCCATGTGTTATAAAGACGGGGCAGCTCTCTTTCATGAGTCCTAAGCTTTTTTTCTTTTCATTATAGTACACACTGCAATTTTATAATGAAGCTGGCTGAGAGAGAGAATATAAGCAGTTTAACGGAAAAAGTAAAAATAAGTCAACTTGGTAAGTTATGCTTTAAACACAGTCTCATCACAATTTTATGTCTTTTCACATGGTCTTCAAGTAGCTAAAAAAGGCAAGATAGTTACTTTTATATCAAAATATTTTTTGTTTTGAGCAATATAAATACATAAAAATGCAATCTTCTGATTTTTGGGGGTCTGTGTGATAGAAATAACTTTTTAAAACATTTTAGTATAAAATTGCCAGCTACTTTAATAGAGCACACTTTGAAAGGATCAGGTGTAAAATAAGCTGAGAACATAAATGTCTTGCTGAAATGACAATCTGACTTGAAAGGGCTGTTAAGTAGCCAAGCTTTCTTAGTGATATTGTGACAGGATGAAGTACTGCATCATACCATTTGTCTCTGTTTCAAAAGCTGTAGTGTTGCATTTTGGTTTGTTTAAGATTAAAAAAAAAAAAAAAGAGGAATCTGAACTTGTCAGGCATTGAACAAAAATCTGAGGCTATGGCAGTATTCTGACTGGTCAAGAGTTCTTTTGTTTTGCAAAATTAATTTGAGAACAAATTTCAAAATAAATTATGCAGTATCTACTGTTGTTTAAAGACATAATACACATGGTTAAATATTCTACTTAATGGTATTAGCAGTTGGTATGCTTAAGGATAATGCTTCTTTGTCATCTCAGATCGGTGCTGCTGTTCATCACTGAAGTATTGTTCCTTGACTGCTGAAGAATTACAAATGTAGTAAGTATAAATACAAAATTTGACTTGCTTATTTCCTAGATTTCCTAATACATGGCTAGAGTCAACTTCCATGCTATATGCTTCCATGTAATAGCCAGAAAGGACTCCACAAGAAAAAGCTGACAGGCATTTTCCAATGTGGCTCACTCCTCTTTCCCTTCCCTCCCTTCTTATAATTATTTTATAATTTATTTTTAAATTTTTTTTTTGTTGTTCCCCCTTTTTTATTTATATTCCTCCCTTTTTTTAAATTTTTTCCATGATGCATGTAGCTTTTGTGTTCAGCAACAGCTCACCTTCAGAACAGGCAGCAATGACAGTAGTAATAGTATTTGTTTATGGACTAGTTAACAACTACAGCAAAATAGAACGTATGAACCGTCTAAATATTAGAGCATGAAACATCCAATCTGATTTATTTTAATATATACATTATTATTATTATTATATCCATATAATTTTTATATATATTCCTCTATTATAACTGGTTTTCTTTAAAACAGAAAAAATGTTAAACTTAACATGTATTTTTGTATCTTTTTTTCTTTTACAGTACTATACAAGTGCCACCTCATCTTATATGGGTTCCTTCCTCTCATTCTCCTTCTCTGTCTAAAAAGACTTTCCTCAATTCTAATTCTTTTTTCCCCCCCACTATACTTTCTACTGAACAAAGCCCCACAATTAGACCACTGATCCCACCATTCACAGAAATTTATTTTTCTGGAACTCTTTCCACATCTCCCCTTACAGACCCTCTCTCTGAAAATTCTATGCCTTCCACCAGTGTTACCACTACACATTCCTCTTCCGAGTCTCTTGCTCAACCTACTATGCCAACTTTTTCTTTCATAACTTCCAACAAATCCATCACTGTTCCCATACCTGCTACAAAATCTGTTACTAATGCTGCTTTCTCAATTAAATCTGACGCTGCACTCCTTAACAAGACTTCTACAATACTTCCTCCTTCTGGAGGTTTCACTAAACATTCTTCACTTTCTTCTTCTGAGCCTCACAAACTTCCAATTGTAAGTCACCACTTTGAGGCTAGCACCAGATCAGTTGCACAAATTCCCCCTATTCCAAGCCAACCTATATCCCGTCCCAAAAATGTTAGTACAGTACCTATTGTTCCCCTTACTCCTTTCACAATATCTTTGACCCCTACTGCTAGTCCTGGCAACCATTCTGTCTCAGCTTCTCATCCTACTGCTGATGGCCATGGGATCCCAGGTAAATATGACAAGTAAATAATTATTTTTGTTTGATTGTCATATACTGGATTTTCTTTCAAACTTCATTAAACAGTGAATATGAGAGGTGCCCTTACAGTTATTGTGAATTACTTTGAATGGGAATGGTGATCTGCTGGAGGGTAAGAAGGCTATACAGAGGGATCTCAACAGGCTGGATTGGTGGGGCTGAGGCCAACTGTATGAGAGCACTTGGCAAGGCCAAGTGCTTCGTCCTGCACTTGGGTCACAGCAGCCCTAGGGAATAGTCCAGGTTTTGGGAATAGTGTCTGAAAGCTGCCTGAAGGAAAAGGACCCGGTAGTGCTGGCTGGCAGTGGCTGAACATGAGCCAGGGTGTGCCCATTTTGCCAAGGTCAATGGCATCCTGGCCTGTATCAGCAATAGTTTGGCCAGCAGGGCCAGGGCAGTGATTGTCCCCTGTACTCAGCACTGGTGAGGCCACACCTCACACCTCGTGTCCATTTCTGGGCCCCTCACTAGAAGAAAGACATTGAGGTGCTGGGGCAAGCCCCCAGAAGGGAAACAGAGCTGGGGAAGAGTCTGGAGGAGTCTCAGAGGTGACCTTATCACTCTGTAGATTTTTTCTTTTTTTTTTTTAACTAACCTAATATTTAAAATACTGCACAGTAATGTTGGATCATCCTTAAAATACTGTTATTGACTGGGAATATTCTTAGTGGCTATGTATTTTGTTATGAAACACATCTTTACAAGTGTCTTTTGAAATTTCTGACAGTATCTTGATTTTACCCCACATTCAGGCATTAAGTGGCTAAAAATTCAAAATAATAGATTATTTAATATATTAATGGTCTGATGTGAGGGACTTTGAAACCAATAAAACATGAAGTTAATTTTGGAAATTTGGAACCTTCCTTTATGTTTTCATGAGATTTAAATTACCACTCTCTGCAAAGTATCTGATAGGGAGGAATTGCTTAATATGTTGTGAAGCTTTATGAGTAGTGATACAAGTTCTTAATCAAGAGAACTGTTTAATTTTTCTGCTTCTCCAAGCTTATATCACTTGTTGAACACTTGTTGAACTTTTTATTTGTCACAGGAAAAACCATTTCAGCTACCACAAAAGTGACTTCTGTGCACACCACCATTAGTATCGCGACAGCTGAACAAATTGTGTCCAAAATAGAAAATGATTTAGCAGCTGGAAAAGTAGAGCCAAAAGATGTAGAAAGGATGGTTGGTGAGGTGAGCAGTATCCTCACTGCTTCTCAGCCATTACCACCACGAATTTCTAACAGGTAGGTCATTTTGGCAATAGAATACAGGAGTGTTGTATTTACTGTCTTAATAAATTGGCTTCAGCAAGTTTCACTTTTTCATAATCATAATCCAAAAGAATATTTTTTGTTCTTTAATATAATTATTCAAAATGGAAGGACTATCATTATAATGTTACCAGCTCTACCATACTATAATGCCATGGAAACCATTGAGTTTTTTTTTGTTGACACCATAATAAGTGAGCATTTTGCACTGCACCTGGATTATTGCTCCATAACCATAACTTGCTTGAGAATTTTGGATGTATGTGCTTGGTAATACTAAGTGTACTTTTTCTTAACAGAATTATAAAACTGGTGGATTATATTGGCTTAAAACTAAACTTATCAACATCATTGGCTGAATTTGTCTCCCCTTCCCTGGCTCTGGCAGTTGTCAATACAAACAGAATCCGTTCCAGCCAGATGTCTTTTGCTGTCCAGGACTCAGCTGATCTCCAGGTTACAAAATACTTAAAATTACCTACAAATTGTCAAACATTTATTTTAAAGTGTTTATGGTTTTATATTTATTAGGAACATGAGTTTGTTCTTTGTTTACGTCAGTTTCAGGATCTTTAGTTCATGTTAGTTTCAGAAGTTTTTTTAAACCCTTCACAGTTTTTCCTTTAATTTTCAACTGTGCAAATAGGTGTAAAAGAGAGCTGACTTAGCAGAAACTGGCAGAACTAGTAAGCTGTTGGAGCGGGTACAGCTAGAACACCAGAATGGACAAAGTGCTTGGCAGAATAACTTTGCCTCAAGCCTCCTGAATTATGAGTCATTTATTCAACCACCATGACAGTGCTGAAATTTTTCAAGGAGTTTTGCCAGATGACTTTATTTGCTAGAAGGAAATAACTGTGGAGGGTTCCAGGAAAGAGCTTTTATGTATGTTGCTTGGATAATGATGGTCAGACATTTGTCACTAGTGGCATCTCACCAAGAAAGAAGTGCTTAGAAAGCTTGGTTGGGTCCCCTTTATCTCATTCAAAACCTCCCTCCTGACAGAAAATAATGGACAATACCAGTCTTGGAGGCTTAAGCAAGGAGAAATGGAAAGTTTTGGACCAATTTTGACACACCTCAGAGAAGAAAATAGCTTAATGTATCGTAAGCCATAAGTAGTACTGGAACTTTTCTGTGTTACTGAAAATTATATAAATGTTTAACATTTGAGTTCTTTTCTATTTCTCAGCAATATATAGTGCATGTATGTGAGATGACTAGGAGATGGTAGTGCTGATACACATTTATTTGCTAAGGAGTGACTTTTTATTTCATGTCATTGGCAATGAAGCACTGAAAATTTTCAATAAGTATCATCTACTTCAAACTAGAGCAACAGGAGTACTTTTGTGGAATTGATTTAGGAATTTTTTTGATGGCTATCTATACCAGTGATTTCCAAAGTGGGGTTGGAGTATCCCAGGGTCTGCACACAACAGTCCATTGCAGTGCAGGAAAAAGTTATTTATATGATTAATAAATTAAAAATACATTTAAAAAGTAGTTTTTAATCTCCTTAATTTTTTAAACATTCTATAACTTGCATAATATATTAGTACACTAATTTATACATGTAACTTATGGATAGGTATATACTGGGGTTCATGCTCAAAAACTTTTAGCGTATGCATGATTAAAAACATTTGGAGTGCACTAGTCTAAACAGATGAATTAAACCACATGGTTAGGGCACTTTGGGGAGTTCACACTGTTACTCTTATTACAGTCATTCTTTCAATACTCAGATAATTCCTTCCTGCAGTGCTACTAATGTTTCACATCTCCCAGGAACTCTGAGGTGATAATATTTTATGTAAAGGACTAATGTATGACAGGAACGTTGAGAGATTTTGTACTAAAGTTCTCTGACCTGTAAGCACAGCACATAAAATGGGTGAAAGTTCAGATCCCTTTTTTGTACAGAATTAGATCACTAAGCTCTTGAGGTACCTGAATTGTAGCTTTTCCAGTTTACTTTTTAGCAGATGATCAAAAAGTTAAGGGTTTATGGTCTTATCTAAGACCATAAACTTAACCTTCTGAACTTAAAAATGTACTGACAAATAATGGCTATTTACACTTTTTCTGAATTTTGACTTATTTCCTACAGGGTATAAAAAATTCTTTGCCTTTGCAGACTTTCATGCTGTGAAATTTTGATCTCCCTACACATTTACAGTTACATAGAGCTACCTGGGTTTTTGCTCCTCACCTTTCCCAAATGAATACAAAACACACATTGATGTGTTATGACCCTGTAAGGAAATGGTTAAACCCAGACTATTTCCAGTTGTAGGCAGACCTGAAATGGGATGCATCCTTTTCAGTCCTGTAAGTGCTATTTATGCAGTGGAGCAGGAGAGGAATGAGAGTAGCAGTAGGTTTGTGACAGTAATTAGAGATATTTATTTTGAAGTTTTAAACTGAAAATAATTCATAATTCATTTATTTGGAGACTGAAATGAAGCATAATCATTTATGTTGTTTATTTTTCAGATATCTCTAGGAGTTCAGGCAATTCAGAATTTAAATAATCTTGGATCAATTACACTTCCTTCATCTTTGCTGAAGAATTTACCCACTGCAGAGTTGGACTTGGCTTCTAGAATTATATTCAACTTCTTCAAAAAGACCACTGTGTTCCAGGTATTGTTTTGCCCCACTGTTCATAAGGATTTTAAATTCAAGCTTAGACCAAAATATGAATGGAATTTTTTTCCCCACAAAACACATTTTAAAACTTCTTACTTAAAAGGTAATTGTTTTTGTCCAGTGCTTGCTCCACATAGTAAATGAGCTTGTGGGTGTTGTACTCTTGTATTGTTTCCTTTAAGATTTTAAGATCTGGTGCTTTTTTTGTCATTTCAGGATCTGTCCTTGAAGAATGCATCTTTAATCAGTGGTGTTATATCATCAAGTGTTGCTAACCTCACAATTAGCAACTTAATGGCAAATGTTACTGTCATTTTGCAGAATATCAGACCTAATCAGGTAAAATTTGCATTTTGGCAGACTTAAAGTACAGTTTTGTTGCCTCTTCTGAAGCTGTTGTAGTGGAAACATTTTACTAAGAGTACAGGTCATCTTTTTCTGCTTTACTAGTGTGGACATTTCATCTCCACTTGGACATTAAAAATCACTCTTGTTTGCATATTTACCACTGGTATAAATTTTGGTTCTCAAGTAGTGTAAGGTAATTTTTCTCTATCACAAATTCATCTAGCTTTTATCTTTCTTACTTAATGTGCTGGCTTTGCAGCTGGTTTTGTTGGTGTTGCATGGCCAGAAAATAATAATATAAAAATAATTAAAAAATTATAAGTAGTTTTTCTTAGAGGAACTGAAACACAGGGTTGTGTCATCTGGAAGTATTAGGATTCTTACACACCGTCTCTTTCTGAAAGAAGCATCAAGGATTAAAGTCTTCTATCTCATATCTTAAGATAGTTTAAAATACTCAATTATTATAAACTAAATATGTAGAGATTTCACTAATGCACCTGGAGCTTTTTTCAGGAGCTGCCTTAGTGGCGTCTTTACTTGTTTTGACATAATAATCAATCTTGAGATATAATTGTGGAAGTATTAGTATTTATAGCAATATAGTGCATTGCTGCTGATATTTATAGAATTTGCATGTGTGAGGAAATCTGTGTGTAAATGTGTAACAGTGTGACAGTAGGAAGTGATCAAATATTTGCAAATGAAAAGGTTTTTCATTTTCTGTGTGGTCATGACTTCAAAAGTTACAAAGTCCGGAAGAAGGAGAAATCCCGAGAATTTGTATGGTGTGGGAAGACAATGAAAGAGCATTCAAAAGGTTCTACCAGGAACAGAATCTTTGCATAAGCACAAGACCTAGCTCCTGTCTGGTGACTTCAAACTTGTTCATATTTTTGTATGCAGTTTGCAATATTAATCCTTTTATGCATATGAATTAATTTTGTGTTCATGTGAAACAGGCGTATTTGCTGTACACAGTGTATACAGTGCTGAATTTTGTAGATCATTCATAAATTATTTGATCCTAAACTCACAGTTTAGTAAGTTGTTGTTTTTGTTTTTCTCTTTACTCCTAAATAGGATAATTCCACAGTTAGATGTGTTTTTTGGGACTTTAATAAAAATGGTAAGTACTTGAGATCACCTAAGATACTATTCTGTTTTAGCTACATTAATTCATGTTAATGTAAATGAAGCCTTTTATGAATAACAAAGCTGCTTTTTTTAACAGGTGGACATGGAGGCTGGTCATATGAAGGCTGCACAGTTAAAGAAAGTAGAGTAAATGAAACAGTCTGTTCATGCAATCATCTCACAAGTTTTGCAGTTTTGATGGTAATTATTTTAAAAACTACGCAATCTTACCCTTGTTCAAGAACATGTTTAACCTTGAGTTGTCTTAAACAAGTGAAGACCCAATAAGTTCCTACAACCTAATAAATAATACTCAGGTTCTGTTCACTTTAGTGGTAGCCATATAATTAGTGACATGCTTAAACTCCTTGTTGAATAGGAGTCGATGGAAAAAAAATTCTTTAAGTACTGCAGCCTTTACATTTAGGCAGCTGTTTATACTCTAGGAAATAAAGTTTAGGAAATCAAATTTAAACAGGCTTTTAATCAAATGGGTTTTTACAATTAGAGTCATACATAAAATAAAATCTCAAGTTTGAAGGGTCCTACAAGGATCACGGAGACCCAGCTCCCTGCTCTTTACAAGACTAGATTGGCTTTTTTTTCCATCTAACCTTTTGTAAGAGCCATGATGAAAAGAATGGAGTCTTTTCTTACTTATAAGTATAGAGGGAAAGGTACATTTTGATGTATTTTGGTGGGTTTTGTATCTTTTTCTTTTAAATAAATCTGTTCTCTGAAAATAACTTCTGTTTCTGTTTTAGGACTTGTATGGAAATACCCCTTTGAATCCCACACAAGAATTGGTACTGACTTTTATATCATATATAGGCTGTGGCCTCTCTGCAATTTTTCTTTCTGTTACTCTTGTGACCTACATAGCCTTTGAGTAAGTACTCATTCAGCTGAACTCCCATTATTCTTCAATTGTATTGATAATAGTCTTCACTGAGAAATCCTTTTAAACAGTTACGGAGTCTGTCTCCACAAATAATGCACAGATTTAGCCGGTTCCAACAGGAAGGTGTTGATTACAGTCTTCAGAAATGTTAATCTTACGAACTAGTGAAGTATCATGAGGCTCTAGGCATTAAGAAGTGAATAAGTCACACTCTGAAATATTTTATAATGGATTATCATAATAGTAGTGTGAAGGAATGGATTTAAGATGCACCATACAGAAAGCAGTACAGTATTCTAGCATTTTTAAAAGCATTTGTATTCTTTCTTTATTCTCTCATTATTCTAAAACTGGGACTTGTCTCTATCAAGGCCTCAGATGCCCAGTCAAAAGCTTGATCTAGTTAAGAAAAAAGAACAGACACATTTTTTGGGTTTGGGTAGCAATACAACAAAAAGTCCAGCATACAATGTAAAAAAATTTCAACTGTGGTATAAAACACTTCAAGTTATTGTTTGTATTTATGTTACCTTTTCTGGAGAACTTTATATATACAGACAGTTAATTTGGAAGTATGTTTTGAATTATTCTCTCCATGTATAAATGCAACACATGAAGCATTGTATATGAATGAAAATGTGAATTTTTTTTTTCTCCTGCAAGGACTGCAGGAGAGGAAATAAGCCAGGGATGCGCAGACAGCTGAGGCCATCTCACAAATTTTCTTCTTTTTTAGGAAAATCCGGAGAGACTACCCCTCCAAAATACTAATTCAGTTGTGTGCTGCATTACTTCTACTCAACTTAGTTTTTCTCCTTGACTCATGGATTGCGCTGTATGATACACGAGGCCTATGCATTGCAGTTGCAGTATTTCTTCACTATTTCCTCTTGGTTTCCTTCACCTGGATGGGCCTGGAAGCTTTCCACATGTATCTGGCCCTTGTGAAAGTCTTTAACACCTATGTACGGAAATACATTCTTAAATTTTGTGTTGTTGGTTGGGGTATGTATTTTTTTCCCCCTTTTTTATGCTAAAAAGATAATTCCTCTTATCAAGTATTTCAGTGAACGTGACACAGGTCAGAAGTGAAAATTAGGTATATGTTCCACCTTTCTGAGGCATGGAGTCCTCCCAGCTGCAGAACTGAATTTTCTGCAATGCAAAGTGATAATAAATTTTCCTTGTGCTGGTACAATAGAACTTTTGAATGCGCGTGCTTCCATTATTTCAGGAATAAATGCCAATAAGTATATATATTCCATTTCTGGAATAGCACTGTTTCTAACAAGATGCAGCAAAACCAGATCTAACTGGATAGAGGATGAAGAGATTCTGGGCCTGATTTTTATCTCCTATTTGTTTCTTAAAACCTATATAAAAAAGAAAATCAGTTATCCTGTAAGAGATGTTTTGAATCAGTTTGAAAACTGATGATATTTATTGGTTTATTTAGAAAGTCTTGGAGCTGGCTGTGGAGGACTCTTGTTTCTTTGCAAGTTGTGCTCCTGAGCAGTTTGAATGCTACAATTTTCAGACAGCTAGTAGTCAGCAGAATTCAGCAGCCAAATTTCAGAAAAATACAATAATTTCAATAATAATTTCAAGTCCTCATAATACTGTCTGTGCTATGATTTTTATGTATGTGTTTGCTCATCATCTTTTAGGGTTGCCAGCAGTAGTTGTGTCCATTGTGTTGGCAGTATCACCAGATAATTATGGACTTATAACCACTGGAAAGGTTTCAATCAATGGACCTGATGAATTGTGAGTTAAAGGGAGGTTCTTTGGGGGAGGTGAGGGTAGGGAGTGGAGGGAGGTCCTACAAATTACTTTTCTTTAAAGTGAAGAGGGGGAAGGCAAGGAAGTAGTAGTAGTAGTAGTAGTAGTAGTAGTAGTAGTGCTTTGAAACAGTATTAACTCTACAGTATCTCGTGTTCTAGGGTTATAGACTATATGAAGGCTCATATCCTTTGGCCAAAAAAAATACTTTTTTTGTAAAAAGGCAAAAATGGTTTGCATGTGCAACAAACTACAAGTTTGTCTCGTGTTTATTTCACTTAATTTCTGTTTCTGATAATGGTTGACAGACTGTTCTTTTGTTCCAGCTGCTGGATCAAAAATAGAATTGTCTTCTATATTACTGCTGTGGGATACTTTTGCCTGATATTCCTGATCAATATCAGCATGTTCATTGTTGTGCTGATCCAGCTCTGTCGTATCAAAAAGAAGAAACAACTCGGTGCTCAAAGGAAAACCAGTATTCAAGACCTTAGGAGTATTGCTGGCCTCACATTCTTGTTGGGAATTACTTGGGGGTTTGCTTTCTTCACAGTAAATGAAGTATTTACTTACCTCTTTACCATTTTCAACACTTTGCAAGGTAAGCTTGTCCTCCGTGTAACAGCTCCCTGTGTATAATAAACCAAACATTTTGAAACATCATTTTCTTGATTCAGCAATAACAATTTAACTTCGATATGTGCAGTAACATGTTAATTATATTAGAGATGAGATGATACTGCTTTACAGTAATCTTAAATTGCAGTTTTGTAATGATGAGGTACAGAAAAAGTTGATACTGTTTATATAGGTATATTTACAAATATTGTAATTTAAAAAGTGTATGCAAACCAGATATCCCTGGAAGTGACTGTGTTTCACTAATAAACAGATTAATTTTGAATAAATATTCTAAATGTTCAGGTTATAATGCAGTCAATGTAGTGAAATCGGTATGATTTCTTCAGTTCCTCTAAGGCTTCTGGGTTTGATATTCAGCAAAGAGTCATTGAGACAGGCAAGGCTGCAACATCTAAAAGTTAGTGACCCAACCCTTAAGCATGGCCTGTATAGTAATTAAGGACATACGGGAAGTAGATACAAGAACAAAGTTTTGTGAAGGCCAGGGTGCTACTGGATATATCCAAAAGCAAGTTGCTGCAAAGACTTTTATATAAAACAGGAGGTATTGTAGCTGTCCATAGTGTCCTAAATATACCTGATATATATATATGTGTGTATATATATATATATATGATAAATATACCTAATTGCCCTTCTGAAGTTTGGATCCAAGTTCTGCTTAAATGACACTTAGATGACTGGCCAGACAATTTCCCAGAGACACAAAAGCAATGAAAATTGCATTCTATACAGTTGAAAATTGTATACACTGCTCCCCTATTTGCTGTATTGGTTTACTATTATTTACTATTCATTCTAAACCTAATACAATTTTTCCCACTGCAGATTGGAAACTGTGCAAAGATTGAGTTGTCGCTTTCCCTTAAATTGTGATGATCTTTTAAGCAGGGAAAGTTAGATGTTGCCCTGTGTCAGTAGTGAATGAAAAGTAGACAAAGAGACTGTAATGTGGTAGTGGTAGGAGATGGGATGAGCACCATTCCTTCTAGACAATATTTGAAATTGTGGTAAAGGGAGTACCATTTATTGTTATTTTAGACATGAGTGATTTTCTTTGTATGAGTGCTCAAAATTTTGTAACATTGGTGGAAATAGGTTAGCTGCTAATTGAAGATGTAGCAGTGTGTCACACCATGTGCTAAAAAAGCTTCACACTCTGATAATGTGGTATCACACCCTGTCTTTGACATTGCTTTGAATTCTTTTCCAAAAGCATTAAGTAAATCTCAAAATCAACAGAATTTTTCCCCTTTTATTTGATGGAAGAAAATTTTATGCACTTTGTGCATTTGGTTGTATTTGTTGTTTTTTCTTTTGTGTGTATGATTCCTCTAATCTATGTAAGGAAAAACTGCAGTGTTAGGAGTTGTAAACCTTTTCAGCAAAGGAAAATTTTTATTAGAAATTTAAAAGAAATGACAGAAAACAAAAACATTGTTCATTAGGAAGTAGTAAAAGTGAATTTTGCAACAGTCTTTCATGTTGCTGCTTTACAGGGTTCTTCATTTTCATCTTCTATTGTGTATCAAAGGAGAATGTCCGTAAACAGTGGAGAAGATATCTTTGTTGTGGGAAATTCAGGCTGGCTGAAAACTCTGGTAAATACTATTTTTTTTTAACTTCTGAATACTTATGTTTAATGTTAAGTTCCTGGTATTTTGTAATAATTACAAGAAAAAAAAGAAAAAAAAAGGGCAGTTTATCACACTGCTGCAGTTGCAGTTCTAATTTATTATCCAAGATCCAGTAAACTTCCAAAATTATACTCTTTAAAGGTGGTAGCTGTTGCAGATCTTGCACGTTTACATGTTGTTGCCTTAAGCTGTTGACTGCTAAGAGATGACCTCTTCCACTGCAGGGTAAAGGCATGTCTTTGCAGAAGACTTTTGGTCAGTTAGAAACGGTAAGATTTGTTCCAGCCTCTGGGTCTGCCGGAGTTTTACCAGTGACTTCCATAAAAACAAAGTGAAGCAGGGTTTAAACCAAAAAAGAAATTAATTACTTTGTTATTTTGTTACTATGTAGTTGTCCTCTTGTAAAGACTTTTACTTTTTATAAACTTTCACTTAGAGAGTCAACTGCACTTCAGTTATTTTTCTGATCTGATCTGCAGTTGTAAAACTGTGACAGTTGGCTGGCTGTATTTTAAAAAGGGACAAGAGAAAAGAGGAACTACATTTAAATAATTTTAAATATCAAGAGTCGTCAAATTCTTAGGAGAATATAATTCTGTCTAGAATACTGCAAGAAGTATGTCAAGCCTTACTTTTATATCAATTCAGTTGCATTATTAACTATATTTTTATATAGTGCTTGTATGAGTTGTGTGATTTTCTGTTTTAGACTGGAGTAGAACTGCTACGAATGGTTTAAAGAAGCAGACTGTAAATCAAGGAGTATCTAGTTCTTCCAATTCCTTACAATCAAACAGTAACTCCACTAACTCTACAACACTGCTAATGAATAATGATTATTCAGTCCATGCAAATGGAAATGGTAAGTATAATGCAAAGTAGTATTTCTTCAGAAGTAAAATTCCTCATCCTTCCTGTTCTATGCAGTACTGTCCTCTGTGCTGCTGCCCTCTGCTCTGTTCCTGACAAGTTGAAATGCAGGTGTAAGTAGCACTGCACTCAATTTCACCTGCAATTTTCTGTGGCTTATTTGTCTGTTAAGAAAACTAGATATGAATCACCACTGAATGTACTTACTAAAAACTGATCTATTTTTCCGTGAATATAATCTAGTTCTTCACATTCTTGCAAGGCACACATCATGCTGCTGATTTCAGCTCTCAATAAAGACAATCAATTTTTCAAACAGAAAAATAACTTAAAAATCTGTAATGTCTAAAACCCTAAGTCAAGCAAAACTCAGAAGACATTATTCCTGTGTGCCTGAGGTATTTTTCCCACTGATCAAGAGTTTAGGCTAAGGAGCCATGTCATCAACTAGAATATTTATTATGAAGTCATTGAACATGCTTGGAGGGGCTGTTTTGTCCTCATTTCTTGGCCTTTGCTGTCCTAAAATAGCACATAATCAGCAGGATTATATCAGCAGATAACCTCTCAGACATACAGAGTAAAAGCCATGGAAATCATATGTGGGTTAGAGGCTACTGTTCCTTTGAGTGTACTAAGTGCATATTGCAGAGAAATCACCACACTTTGGGAGATGGCATTTGGACATGCTCTGACCAGCATTCCAAATTGAGGTTTTTTTTTTTTTTACATTCCTTTGTAACATCTTCCTGTTTGGGCACCACATAATGCAATAATTAACATACTTTTTATCTAACAGATCAGTTGAGAACCAGAATCCAGTAACATTCACTATCATTAAATACAAAGTAAGGCAATATTTTTAGGTAGAAGTATTTCCTCTCAAAGAGAGAAATTTTCAGGCGTAAAAGCCTGCATGTCTTGTAGGGTTCTTTTTTCCCTGCTACGTTAATTGCTCTCATGAAAAAAGCCATCTCTCCCTGCAACATCTAACATGCTTATACATAGCTGAAAAAGCATTTTGACAGTTTTTCTCAACAGAAAGATAGCTAAAATATTCTATTGAACTTGTTTGTTGCAGCAACTGAGTGAATAAGTCTGTTGCAGCTTTGTGGAAAAAGTTTTTTCTTTTGGATATTTTAGAATGAGATGCTAAATTGATGATCCAAACCATTGAGTGATGCCAGTTCTGCTGGATGTGCTCTAATTCTGTCTTACTGTATTCATATAATCAGACCTTTCCAGTGTGAGTGTCTGTGTGTCCTGTGCCAAAAGGTTTTTAGACAAAAGCAGCTGAAAGAACTTCTATAAAACTTTGTTTCTGTGCACTTACAAACATGGATATCTTGGGTGACCTACCTCATTTCCTTTTATTGTCGGTTTTGAATGCTGTGAACCTCGTACCACATCCTCCATTCATATCAAGAGGGTTGTATGATACCTTGCCTCAATAGTTTGACTGAATTCTTCTGGGTCCTTAGAACTTCCATAAAAAGAGGCTAAAACTATGCTTGGATAGCTCCCGGCAAAGCTCTTGGAGGCAATTCCTTACACCTAATCTTCCAAACACGGGGCAGTTTTGTCTCAGAAGAGCTAGGCTAATGACTTCAAAAGGTATTAGGCTGCTGTTAGATTGGAACATGGAACTTTCCAAATTGCTGCACCTGATTGCTCTCCTCTCAAAGATGGAACTTGAAAATAACATTGCAACACATTGTTTTAAAAAGTGACCTCCAAAACCAAAAGCACTCTAGAAATTAAGATTTATGATGTAAATATACTGAGCTGTAAAGACTTCATGGTTTTAACCTCACTGCTTTTACTGAAATGCTATTCCAGATTCACGACTGAATGACTTAACGTGGTAAGTTTGGGATGTCTGTATAGCTGTGACTTTGCTTTCCTATAGGACTTCATTTTTTCATGGCATCCTAATATTTCCTTATGTTCAGTTTTTCTCTTGCAGATTTGCATGTTTCAGAAACTACCATTGGGTATCACATGGCTGAACATGCAGATTTCTTCACTGAGAAATACAAACCACCTTCCTGAATTTGTTCAAAGAAAAATTTATTGTTTTCTTCTCAGCTTTTGCCCTAACATTAGGGCACAGCTATTTTGAACACTCTCAAGATGAAACAGCATTAGGCAGGGGAATAACCAATAATCAGAGTGTTAGCAAATGTGGTTATTTTCTATTATTTCAACCTTTTTCTTATTTGAATTCATGAACAAATCTCTTCTGCTTGTCTTACCCTGTCACTATTTGTGCCTAAGTGCTTGATGGCTGTTTAAATTAATAAAAATCCAAACTGAAATGTCTGCACAAATACTTAGAATAAAAAACCACAAATTCTTATCAAAAATATTTAGAATGTGATTCATAGAGGCAGGAGATTTATCCAGTGAACTAAACATTTGTGGAGCATTTCATTCAAAGGCTTCAGTCAGCAGTGGTGTTAGATGTGTTCACTGTGGATTCACCTTAATGTGTTAAATTCTCTGCAGTCTAAATATGGTTTTGACCCGTGATCAGGTCTAGGCCATATTCTGTTTGTCCTTCAGATGTAAATGCTGTAAGTTGAATTCCTTTCAAAGGCAAAAAAAATTCCTTGTATTCTCAAACACTTTCTTCTTTCAGATGCATGGCATACCTGAGATACCTTTAAAACTTAATTCGATAAAGCATATCATTAAAATGAGGAGTATTTTGCATATTATCCACTGATACTTATTCCAAGTCAAGTCTACATTTTGGGAATTGTGAACTTCGTTGCTTAAAATATGGAATCCTCATGCATAAATGTATTAACATCTCTTAAATATCAGGATTTCACACAGGAAAATAAATGTATACAAAATATTTACCAAAAACACACATTTTAAAATTGTTGCAGGGATAAAAAGACAGTGTATGAACTCCCTACATTGACTTAAAAAACATGGGAGGCTTGATTCTGAAACTTTCTAATAGGGGATGCCCTTTTTTTATTTCAACAGGCCATCTTCCCAGTGAGAAGAATGGTGTTTGTTTCAGTGTACAGAATGGTGATGTGTGTCTCCATGACTTTTCAGGCAAACAACTTGTATTTCAAGACAAGGATGATACTGGCAGCCAAGAAAGCCAAATCTCACTTAGAAGGACTTCAAAGAGAGGAAGCCTAAGTTCTATGGAGAAAATGTGATTTCCTTTTATACAGCACATTGTTTTACAGTGTGGAGTTTTACTTTAATAGTTTTACATAATGTGAGCAGACCAAGAACTGGTTTTATTTAATATATGGTACTGGAACTTCAAGGCAGCCATAAAATGGATTGACAAGGACAATTATTTTAAAAAAAAAGGAACCTACTATTTTGACAAGATCCTGGGATGTCATATTATAGCTGGCACACTTTTTGTTTCTTCATCAGAATGGGGTTTTTTAAGGGTTTTTTACATTTAAACAAAAGTTTTATTTAGACTTTTTTCATTACAATTAAGTTTATCTGGATATAGTGCTTAGTAGTATTGTATAAATGTAGAAAGTTACAACTTGTGCATACAAACGATGTTAACTTTAAAAATGTTAGCTACGCTGTCTTCAACTTTTTGTATGTTTTAGTAGCAAACTCTGCAGTGATGTACATAAGCAGAAGATATCAACCTTTAAGCATCTCAATTATACTTTTATATTTATTTCTTGTAATATAAATATAACTATGTATAGAAAAACAATTGGTATTTTGTTTGTAACTTTTATTGTAAGTTTGCATTTTTCTTTAGTTAGCTAACTTTAACATAGAACGGTACAAAAGTTAATTTGTCCAGTAAGTGGATCACTTACAGTGGTTTGAGTATAATCACTAGATGCAGAACTGTAAATATCAAACACAATCAGTCTAGAACCTTTAGCTACCTTTTCGTACACCACAGAGGGATAGAAATTGAGTATAATTCAAGTAGAGTGCCATGAATAGAGTATTAAATAAAGTAGTCAGTAGGTTATTAAGTGGAACTAAGTTGTGTTAGTGGCTTGAGTGAACTCATCAGTTTTTGACATTGATTTCACCAGGGTCAGTATTTATCTTGAATGGTGGGACACTGCCATTGCAATTTCTCAGTTGCAATGATGAAAGGAGAGAAGTTTGGGGAGGGCAAATTGAAGAAAAAATATAAATAATAAATGACAGCTGCTATATTTAGTAGCTGAGAAAGTGTTTGTTTCATTGTATGGTTGTTTTTGAGGGGCAGCTCTTGAGCTATTCTAATGAGTATTTCTGCTTGTGCTTTGGCTCTTGGTTGGCAAACCACATACTGAGGTGTTACCTCAGTAATTGCTGAAGCAAAATTTCATTCCTCTTGTGATATTTACCTGAAAAAAATGGATTTTGGCTCTTCATGTAAAACAGATGAAAATCTGTACAACATCATGAAGATTCCTCCTGAACAGAATTTGGCCTAAGTCCTGGTTTTACTTCTTCCTCACACATATGTGCAGCTGGGACCACTGGTTTTTTTTTTAAATTTTCATTCTTGGGCAAAAGTTGGATGCTCCCAAAGCAAGCTAGGACAAACTGGTGGCAGAGTACCAGGCCCTGTAAAGAGGGCTGCATGAAGCAGGTGCATGCTGAAGGGGAGCCAGGGCTCTGCTTTCCCAGTGGGGAGGGCTCAGTGCTGCGCTCTGGAAATAATCTCCTCAACAAAAAGCATGCCTCTTACCCGGGGCTCTGCTGGAATTAGTAATTGAACCTCCTCAGTACTCAAACCCCATTGTGGTTCTGGGGGCAACACATGGATTCTTTCAGTCACTTACATCCAAGATTATTCTGACTATGCTAGAAAGTGAAAATTTAAAGTATTTGTTGTGTTTATCCACAGGGCTTTATCTGCATGTTGGTAAAAGCCCATCCTGGTATGCTAGGAGCTGGAATACGTTTCTGTGAATGCTTTAACTATTTGGCTAATTGCCTTTGCATGTTTCTTGTAAATTTATTTAATGTTCTTATATTTATATTTTCAACTGTAAAAAAGTAATAAATTTGCAGCAAGTACAACACAAAATATATAAACTTTGTCTTTTAGATAAATGTGTCATTAATATGGGGCTGAGTTACGCACCTTCAGCTACTCTGCGACATCTGCTCCGTGGTTTTATTCGATCCGGTCTCAAAACGGTGGGGATTTATAAGGGTAGGAGAAACAAAAGCTTCCAACAAGTATTTGTCATTCTCAGCTTTATTTTACGAACTTGCGAAGAGATTGTATAAAATCGATTTTTTACAAATGCAGCTGGGCTTTTGTCACGCCAGGCGGCCGCTCCTCCGCTCGGTCCTTGTGCCCCGGCGTCCCCGTGTCCCGCGGAGCCTGAGGGCGGAGGCCGCTG